GGGCCGGCCTCTGCCTCCATGCCAACCGATGGGGCCAAGAAGCCTCGGGGCCGGGGTCGAGGCCGGGGCAGGAAGGCCGAGGAGGCGGGAGGCACCCGGTTGGAGCCCCTGAAGCCACTTAAGGTGAGGGAGACTAAGTCTTACGGAGAGGGAAAGATTGGAGCCACACATGGGCTTTTGGAGGGCAAGGGGGTAAGGGTTCTGTTCCTAAAACCGGGGAAATGAGTTGAATGCCGGGACTCCACTGATAGAGGGATCTAAGAACTGGAATTTGGGGTCCAGAGAGAGACGGGAGATTGGGGCATGGGTTTTTAGCTTTTATATCCCAAAGGATGGGTAGCTGGGGTGCCTGTATTTCTAGGTGTTAAGGGGGAGGGTCTGGGACACGAACCGAACTGTAACCAAAGTGGTCAGTGAGACTAAGTTCCTGGCCTTCTTAGGGAGAAACGCTAGTCCTACCATTCTGGAATCTGATAGAAGGGGGCTGTAGGTTTGAATTCTAGGATTTGGTAGGCTGAGCTTATGGAAATTTGGATTTTGGGGTCTTAAGTGGGGTAGGAACTGGGAGCTCGGATTCCTGGGTCTGCGGGAGGGTAGGGGACTGGGGAGCCCAGACACCTGGGCCCTCACTCCCCACTGCCCCCGTATCTAGATCAAGCTGCCTGTGCCCAAGGCTGGCGAGGGTCTGGGAGCCTCATCGGGTGACGCTATATCAGGCACCGACCACAACAGCCTGGATTCAAGCCTGACTCGGGAGAAGATAGAGGCCAAGATCAAGGAGGTGGAGGAGAAGCAGCCTGAGATGAAGTCGGGCTTCATGGCTTCCTTCTTGGACTTTCTCAAGTCGGGCAAGCGCCACCCACCGCTCTACCAGGCGGGCCTGACGCCCCCACTCAGCCCCCCCAAGAGCGTGCCACCCTCGGTGCCAGCCCGAGGCCTGCAGCCGCAGCCCCCAACTGCCCCCTCCGTGCCACATCCACCTCCTGCTGGCGCCTTCGGGCTGGGGGGCGCCCTGGAGGCTGCAGAGAGTGAGGGGCTGGGGCTGGGCTGCCCTTCACCCTGCAAGCGGTTGGATGAGGAGCTGAAGCGGAACCTCGAGACGCTGCCCTCTTTCTCCTCGGATGAGGAAGACTCGGTTGCCAAGAACCGGGACCTGCAGGAGAGCATCTCCTCAGCCATCTCCGCCCTGGACGACCCTCCCCTTGCTGGGCCTAAGGACACCTCTACCCCGGATGGGCCGCCCTTAGCCACCGCAGCTGCAGTCCCGGGGCCACCCCCTCTCCCGGGGCTCCCCAGTACTGGTAGCAATGGCACGCCCGGTGAGCTCTGAGAACGTAGTCTGGGAGCTAGGAGGGGTTCTGGGTTATTACTGTCACTGGATACAGTTGTGCAGGTTAAGTGCTGTTTAAGGGTTGCCGTTCAGGTAGATGATGTGGACTTGAATGTCTATGGAGGTGATTTTTCAATTGAGAGCCAACAAGCATTTTGAGGAAGGCAGAGTTTTTTGCTGTTTTTTTTTAAAGTTTTTTGTTTGTTTTGAGTTGGAGTCTCACTCTGTCGCCCAGACTGGAGTGCAGTGGCCGCTCCTGGCCACCGCAGCCTCG